AAGCAAAATTGCTGACTGGTATTTTTCTCTGAAGAAGTTTGAAGATGTAGTTTACTCCTCACTTAGGTGGTAGAGCCTAGGCTGGGGGTGTTATTTTTACAGTGAAGAAGCAAAATATCCTGTCACAGAACTTAATTTTTATATAAATATAAAATAGATGGATAATGTTTATCCTTTATTTTTCTATGTAGGCGTTGGGGTTTTTTTTTTAAAGTACTATTACAGCTAGATGTTGAGCTGTTTAAAAAAAAGGGCTAAACTCTTCCATTCTGTGTAAGGAAGACACAAAAGCATTTATTTTATATAGCCAGATTGGCTTTAATTGTACAGCATTCAGCCCCCAGATGGTGGCCTGGCTTCTGGTGTGGGTGTCAAGGTACTTGGTGGCCCCTTGCTTGGGGTGGAGGGAGAAGGAATGAGGACCCCACTCTGGGAAACTGCAGGACACCAAGGGGAGGGCACCTTAAAATACCTGCTCACTTTGGAGGGGAGAGGGGGAAACCATCAATGCCATTTTTTTTTACAAGGAGACTCTTAAAAAACGTAGATTTTAAAGAGTAGGGTTTTTTTTCAGACCTTTTTTTCTAAAGGTACATTTTTATGGTGTGTGGTAGCTGCCCAAGCTTCATCCTCCCTTAATTTATTCATACTCTTTTTTGAACTAGAGCCCTGACCCTGCTGACAGGAGTGACCGTGTGTGTCCCAGTAGCTGGTGGGTCAGAGCAGGGTGCATGGAGCTGCTCTGCTGCCTTGGGGAGGACCTGAGCTTCTGTTTACAACCCAGCTATGGAAACACAAGGGTCACATCCTGGCAGCCCCAAACCAGCCTTGGGAAGGTTTTCCCTGTAGAACCAAAGCCACCTCCCAGCTCGTGTCTGACCATAAGCTGCTGCTCATCTCTTTTGGGGAGGAAGAACGACCCTAGAGGGGTTCCTCATGCTGTAGGTTTGGTTTGGCTGCTGTGGGATGCTGAGCTGGGTGGTGTAGCCAGCAAAGCTGTGCCTGCTGGATGCCCTTGAATGGCTCTTCCAAACCAAAATGGATCCTTTAGGTCGTTCCTTGGGTGATCAGTAGCTAATGAGGGATTTTTGGGGGCCTGGATGTGTAATGACAGGACACCAGTTGGCAGATCTCCATCCGGGAGCTGCCCCTGCCAGCAGCTGCTGATGCCTTGAGCTGGCACCATCTCCTTACTGGAGATGTGGCTTCAGCAGCACTGGGGGGTCTACAAGGGGCAGCTTTTGGGTTGGCATGGGTCACTGGAGGTGTCCATCAGCCAGGCACGTTGTGTAGATGACACTAAGCAGAGCTAAACCTCCTACTCCCTTCTTTGGAGAAGGTAAATCAAAGAGCACCTCCCTGGGTGGTGGTGCATGTGCCTTGTGCTCATGAACCATGAGCTTCTTGATGCCTTTTTGTCACTTAAACTGAATGAATCACTGTGTCCAATGCACACTGTGTCTTAAGGTGTAAAAATTGTCAGCTTGGGGCCACTGGCTCTTGGTGGGGTGGCTGGAGAGAGCCCTCAGCTCTCTGCACGTGGAGGTCTCCAAGCTGTTAGCCTTGGGTGTCTTTCTATTGACTTTGGAAACTGGAGTCACTACCAGGAACCTGAACTGCACAAAATATTTATATCAGAGATAAACAGATGAAAAATTTGGGGTCATTTTAATGTTAAGAGGTCTATAGCCTGGAAGGTGACAGCTTTCAGTGTGACTTCAGTAGCTGGGAGTCCTTGGCAGGTGGTCCCCAGTGCATCATCCTCTTCCTCTGGCTGCTTAGCTTTAATATTCCTGACTTCACCTTGCCTGTTTTTGGGAGAACTTCATCTCCCCTGTGGAGTAACTTGTGAGTAAGGACACAAAGGCTGGACTTGCCCAGGGACAGAACCTGTGGCCATGGAGAGACTGGGGAGGGCAGTTGTGCTTTTGGCCAGCTGAGCATTGTCCTTGGAGGGGGACAGGAAAAAGTGTCCTGAGTTTTGAGCACTGTCAACCTCATTTTTCTTCCCAGCTTTTCTTGGGAACTCGCTCTGCCTAGAGCTGAGGGTGAGGAGCACTTTGATGTGTAGAGCTCTTTAGGGACTTCCCAGTGTGGAGCTGGGAAGGAGACCAGTTGGTCTCACAATTGCAGGGGTCTCAGATCTTTCAGGTGTCTCCTGCTGTGCACAGTGCTGGATCTGCAGGTGGGAGCCCTTCACCAAAGCCCCTCCTCACCTCTCCTGGGTTTGCATTTGAAAGTTCTGCTGTGAGTGAAGTTTTATTTTAACCCAGTCTGTGAAACATGTACTGCTGCTTTGTCTGCCACAAACGCACACGTTATTTAAGGGGGAGGATGAGGAACTTTGTCTGCAGTTTATTTTTTTGGTGTGTTTTTGCCTGCCTTGGAATTTTTAAATATTTCCTGAAATGTATATTTAACAATGCAGGAGTTCGTTTGTGAAATGCTGCTACAGTTGTATCACTGGAGCTCAAGGAAATAAAATATTCAGATGTTTGTCCCTTTAGGCTTCTGCTCGTGGCTTTCCTTAGCTGGGTAGTTGGGCATCCAGCAGCAGGAGGGTGCCTGGCTCTGCCTGCTGGCAACATCTCTGGAGGAATGGTGCCTTCTAGTGTTGTCTGAACACTCGGCAGGCTCAGCCCCTCGCCCTCTGAGTCAGAGGAAACCCTTCGTCAGCACCCTGGGGGAGGAAAATGCTTCTGGGAGGGGTTTGGCCGCCTGGCAGGAGCTGATATCTGTGCTGCACTCCTCTAGGAGCCGCTGGAGAGTTTTGCAACGTGCTTCTCCTGGCTGCTGAGATGTGCAAAGCCAACCCACAGGCTGTGGCTTTTTCCAAATGCCCAAACTGGAACCCCTTCCAAACTTCCCAAAAGCTGGAACTTTCTTTTTGGGAAAGAAAGTGCATGGGGTGAAGGCCCTGGGGGAGCTGCTGATTTGCTGAGGTTTCAATAGTTGGTGCATAATTTAAAGGGGAAGACCCAGAAGAGCTGAAGCTGCTTGAGATCTCACCTTCCCCTTCAAGAGAAAGGACAAGAGGGGTTCACTGGAACCATCTCTGCACAGCACTGGGGGGACAAATGCTTCCCATAAAGCTGGTCTGAGCAACATCAGGTCAACCAAAGCTGCTGAGCTGTCCCCAGGGCACTGAGACCCTCAGGGCTTGGCCAAGGTGGGCTTTAAAGGAAAACAGTGATTCTTAACCTAAAATTTTGAATTATGACATCTCCAGCGTGGACTGTTCCAGCTCAAGGTGGAAAATGCTTCTGGTCCTGAGGTAGCTCTGTGCAGGGTGGGGTTTTTTTTAGTTTCCAGCTTGATGTCTGGTGCAGGAACTCCTTGGAGTAAATCTCCAGCCTTAAAAAAAATCTGGAGTTGGGGCTGGAGGATTATTTTGGGAGCAGCTTCATGTAGTTCTGCCAGAGGGGTGAAGCATCATTTGTTTCCTACTAGTTGTATTTAAAAATCAGGTTTGGACTAGATGCTGATCTCCAGGTTTGGGCTTTCCATTCATTCAGGAGGTGTTGACTTCAGCATGCAGCAGGGAAAAGGTGCCTCTAAAAATCCTAAAGCTGGAATTCTGTTGAGATGCAGCCAGCTGGAAGAGGGGAAGGAGAATAATTGTCCCAGGATTTAGCAGCAAACCCCTACCTGGGGATCCTGGGCTGGCTGCAAAGGGCAGTGGCAAGATGCTGCTGTCCTTGGACCACCCCAAGGGAAAAAGGATGTGACTTTTCTCACCTCTTCTGCCCTTTTTCTTCTCATTTTCTTACTGTCAGTAGAAAAATGAAGGTGCAGCAGCCTCTGGATGTGCTGGGGTGGAGAGCAGGCTGATGAGCTTTAGAGATGAGATCAAAAGATAAGGTGCTATTTGTGCTCAGCAGAAGGTTTTTGACAGGTTTCTGTTTTTGTTTGCTGTAGAGTAAATATTTAAACTCCCATTCCACTCGTGTAGTAAATGTGTGTGTACTCCTGAGAGGTGAGGTGTGTAACACACTTCATCCCTACCTCCTGAACACCAAATTCTGGGTTTATATGAAGGCTGCTGGAGACCCCTATATTTCTTTTTCTCAGAGCCACCTTATTCCCAGTAATTCCCCAAAAAGAGAGAAATACTCAATATCTATCTGCATGGGGAGGGATTTTTGTGCTTTGATAGTATGTGGTCAGTAAATGTGTGTGTACTCCTGAGAGGTGAGGTGTGTAACACACTTCATCCCTACCTCCTGAACACCAAATTCTGGGTTTATATGAAGGCTGCTGGAGACCCCTATATTTCTTTTTCTCAGAGCCACCTTATTCCCAGTAATTCCCCAAAAAGAGAGAAATATTCTTAATATCTGTCTGCATGGGGGGGAGGATTTTTGTGCTTTGATGATTTGTGGTCAGAGGGGCATGAATTAGGTGGTTAAACTTGCAGCTAAATGGCTGATAACTCTTCCTGTCCATCCATGTCTTCCCCACTAGACCCAGGGGAGTTGGGGATTTTTACACCTGAAATAAAGAAATAATGCCCAGAAAAAAAGGAAAAAACTCTGAAAAAAAGACTCTGTGCCCCTGCAAGGTGCCCTGGAGAAGTTTCCTTGCCTGCCCAAGAGGGAGATGTGGCTGCATAACCTCCCTGAGGACTTCAAGCTTCTCTCCTTCCTTTTGCCTGGTTTAAATTTAAACCTTTTGGATGTTTTCTCTGATTTTAGTTTGCAAATCAGCATTCCTGAAGTCGGTTCTCTGACTTCATCAAATGCTTATATTGTGCTACATCCTATTGCTGTATAATCATGGAAAATGTGGCTGC